TTATAACTATCAATGTTAATGGTCTCAATTCACCTATAGGAAGAAATAGACTGGCAGAATGGACCAAGAAACAAGATCCAACAATATGCTGCATACAAGAAATACGATTAATTCAAAAAGAAATTCATAGATTGAAAGTTGGAGGATGGAAAACAATATTCCATGTGACAGGAACTGGGAAAAAAGCAGGGATGGCTATTCTATTTGCAGACAAAGTGGATTTCAAGTCAAGACTGATTAAGAGAGACAAACAAGGTCACTATATCCTTGTAGAGGGAACAATCCACAAGGAAGAGATAATAATCATAAATATATATGCATCAAATACCTGCATATCCAACTATATAAAACAAACATTTATGGACATGAAAAATCAAATAAGCACTAGTACAAGTGTAGTGGGGGACCTCAATGTACCACTATCACAAAAAGATCAACTAGACCAAAAATCAAGAAAGAAGTATCAGAACTGAACCAAACTTGAACAAATAGACTTAGTAGATGTCTACAGAGTGTTCTACCCCATAACATCAGAATACACATTCTTCTCAGTTGCACACAGGACATTCTCCAAAATAGACCACATACTGGCTCATAGAACATGCTTAAGTAAATGCAAAGGAATTGAACTTATCAGACCATAGCGCAATGAAATTGGAAATCAATGGCAAAAAGAAGCCACAAAACTTCATAAACACATGGAAATTAAGTGACGCCCTCCAAAACAACCAATGGGTCACAGATGAAATTAAAGAAGAAATTAGTTTCTATAATTAAATAATAATGCCAATGAAACTTATGGGACACAATGAAAGCAGTCTTATGAGGGAAATTTATAGTGATGAATTCCCATATCAGGAAAATACAGCAAGTTCAAATAAATAACCTAATGTTGAACCTCAAACTTCTAGGAAAATAAGAGCAAGTCAAGCCTGATGCTTGTATGAGGGAGGAAATTATAAAGATGAAAGGAGAAATTAACACAATGGAGACCAAGAAAACAATACAAAGAATCAATGAATCAAGTTGTTTCTTTGAAAGATTAAATAAAATTGACAAACCCTTAATCAACCTTATCAAAAAAAGGAAAGACTCAAGTCAATGCAATTAGGAATGAAAAGGGTGAAATCACAACAGATCCTGCAGAAATCCACCAGATCATCAATACCTACTTTGAGAACCTGTATTCTAGTAAGATGGAAAGTAGAAGAATTGGAGAGATTCCTAGATACATATGAATTACCAAAGCTGAATCAAGAAGATATAAATATTCTAAATAACCCAATATCAGTCAATGAAATTGAAGGCATAATTAAAAACCTAGCGACAGGCCAGGGATTTAGCTTAGTGGGGCTGCCTCCTGCCTTGCAAGTGCAAGGTCCTGAGTTTGATCCCTGGTACCAAAACAAACAAACAAACAAAAACAAAAACCTAGCAACAAAGAAAAGCCTAGCTCTTGATGGAGTCACTGCTAAATTCTACAAGGAATTTAGAGAAGACCTAATGGTGCTATTTCTCAAACTCTTTATTGAAACTGAAAGGGAAACAATACCCCTCCCAAATTCATTTTTGGAAGTAAGCATTACCCTGATACAAAAACTAGAGAAGGATCCCACCAAAGAAGAGAACTACAGGCCAATTTCCCTAGTGAACATAGAACAAAAATCCTCAGTCACATACTGGGAAACAGAATGCAGCAAATCATGAAGATTATATACCATGACCAAGTAGGATTCATCTCAGGGATGCAGGGATGGTTCAACACATGAAAATCAATAAATGTAATACACCATATTAACAGAGGCAAGGAAAATGTTCCATGGGAGATCCCTGTCTAGCATCTTTCCTCCTGTAACAGTACACTTGTTTTTTGGTCAATCTTAGGGCCTGGGAAATGTGAGGGGATGGGACTTCTTTGAAAATTTAACTACCTTAGATTCTTTGTTGGCTTTTAAATCACTTTGTCCCTTGTCTTCTAATCAAAGCCAGGAACTACTGAATCTGGACCTTCTGTTGTAATTTTTGTTTCAACCTAAAAGGCTCACCATTATTACTCAAGATCCCAGGTTAATTGCTTCAATCTTGGGTTCATCTTCAAACAAATGGAGCAAAGCTGCCTCTTTTACACAGATTGCATCATAGCAAATTGCTCTTTATTCCAGGGTTCACTGTTACCTTGGTTTGACAAGGAGGAAGTGGTAGGAGATCCTAGTAAGCACAGGCTTCTCTTAGGTTCTAAACACATCTGTCTTACATTTTCTGCCTCTCTGCTTTTGCTCATACCAATTTAATGCAAGGCTGTGGGCACATACAAACAAATACACAGAATTATGCTCAAGAAATTCTTACACTGTGAGGTTTAGCACATACTCTATTTCTCTCCCCAAACAGAACTTTGCAAATCATTCTGAATATAATTCTTTCTGATATGATTAAACCATGGGACCCTGGAATAGCCGGAAGATGTGTAACTTGTGTGTTTATGCACATACCTTTGTATGTGCTTATATGGCTTGGTTTAGCCAGGTGGTTTTCTGTAGTCATGCAGTGTTTCTCACATATGACATTGGACAAAAGTACATATAATATTTATATTACCCTCTAATTATTCCAGAATACATCAATTACATTAGAACAAATTTGTTTTCAAAAACAAGTGTTATAGTAGAAATGATTGTACTACTTTTACCAATATAAAACATATGTAAATCCAGGTGTAGTGGCGCACACTTGTAATCCCAGCACAGTGGAGGCTGAGGCAGGAGGATTGCCACAAGTTCAGGGTTAGCCTGGGCTACATAGTGAGCTCAAGGCCAGCCTGGACTACATGATGAGACTCTATCTCAAAATAAGACAAAACAAAACAAAACAAAACAAAACCAGGACAAAACAAAAAACACATGTATATGGGTGTGTTAGAATATGCTTAAATGCATTATGGACAGATTGGTTTAATTTTTTAACATAGGCAACAACAGACCATTGTCTTTTAAGTTGTTTTTAGCTCTCTCTTATTTTCACTGCCTCACTTCTCATTCATGCATTTGTTTCTTTTTTTCAATTTCTAAAGACTATAGTGTAGATATAAGATATCATACACCTTCAGTTGGCCCAGGAATAGCAGTTGATTTATTCCTCAATAACCTTAAACTATGAAGGAAGCCCCAAAATATAGACCTGTTTTCTGGTTGTTGTTTTTTTCCTAGAAGCTTGTCACACTGCCCATGTACCATAGATATTTCTAGCTCTTGTTACCATTTCCATTTCAGAGAGAACTAAGGATAAACAGATATAGTATAGCCTCTGAAGGTAATTATGTGATAAACTGTTGTGAACATTATTCACATACCAAGTGACAAGTAATTCAGGCCATGGTCTTTAGAATTAGGTAGACATGGATTTTAATTAAAATTGACTGTAGTATGTTTTTAAACTGGAGATAACAATATACACCTCCAGGATTTTTCATGGAATCACATGAAATAATATACATAACACCTGCCACATAGTAAGTACTAAATGTTCATTATTGCCTTTTTCATTTAAAAAATTATGTATTAAAAGTATGTAAGTCCGGATGCACACTGTGGCTAGTAAAGGTCCTTTTAATTCAAATAACATAAGCATACGATTGGACTGACTCGATATTCACAAAAAGTTTGAAGTCAAGCATGAGACAAAATTATATGGATTTGTGGGAAAAACCAAAATATTATGACCTGGTAAAACTGTTATGAAGCAGTAAAATAAACTGAATAATGAAAGTAAAAATAAATAAATAAAAGTATGTAAGTCTGCTTGTGGTTGTCTTATCACTATTCTGAAATGGAACACTAACAAGCAATGTGTAACTGGCATCATTTTATTAAATCCAGGGCAGATACAAAGTGCTACAATAGGTGCAACAGGGATATACACATTCACCTACCAACAAAACATTAACCACGTAACAACTTTTGAATTTGTACTATACCAACCACACCAAAGCAATTCCATTAAAAGAAATGTTAACGTGGATGTAGCATTTTAAGAATACATAGAAAACTTGGATTTTATTTTAGCTTCACCATTTACTTGTCATGTGCACTTGTAGAAGTTAGTTAACCTCTGTAAGCTTTAGTTTCTGTACATTAAAAGAAAATACTTCATCTGACCTTCAACAAGATTATGCATATTTTATACACATACATATGCATACATAACTAGACATAAAAGCAAACTAGAAAACAAGTATACCAGAATGAGTTTAAATAAATATATAAATTTTCCAATGTTCTAACCCTCAAAAATCTTCCAGAAACTATGAACTATGATCATTAAATCATAATGGAGCTGAAGGAACATAGTTAAATATGCATAAATGTATGCATATATATATGTATCTATGCATATTTAACTTAGATCAGATTATCCTAACCAAAAAGTAGAGTCATTATGCGGGCAAGGAACTATTAGTCATTTGATTTAAGTCAAAAATTATATGCAACCTCAAATGTTCTGGCAGTGTCTTGGGGTTCCATGATATTTATGAATTTGAAATAACAAGTTACAAAGGAAATGTTTTGTAATCTTTATTTTACATTCTATTAGTCATATCTTTTATTCCAACAAGAAACTATTGGATAGATTTTATTTGACAGTAAGTAGTTTTTATAATGAACTTCAAATTAATACTGCTAACACTTTTAGGGCTGTTACTAGCTTATATGGTGCTTTGGTAATGATTAAGCAATAACAGATGATAGGGCAAGCCTTTGCCTTTGCCTCCTCCCGTTTTTTTGTTTTTCCCATAAAGCAGAAATGTAATCATTTGTGCTGCATGGTGTTCCTGCCCAATGTTTAAAAATGTTCTGTAACTGTCTGAGTTGCACCATGTTCCTACTAGACATTTCAAGAAAGTTCTGTTAACTCTGCCCCTTTGCTTCTGTGAGCATGCTTGCCTGGTACATGTTTCAGGAATATTATGTAACTCCACCCTCCGCTTCTGTGAGCATGCTTACCCAGCACATAGGCCCAACTCTATATAAGGCTGCTTCCATTTCTCTTCAGTGCTCAGAATTTTGAGTGGGCAAACTCCTCTGAGCCAGCCAACAATAAAGGTTTTTCTCCATCTCCTTGAGTAACTTTTGGATTCTCCAGTCTTCAAATTGCTGTAGCTGTAGCACTTGAGCTGAAGCACTTGGCTGTAAAATTGAGCAAAACCACTTTGCCACAACAGTTATAGTTAGCAAGAGAGAGAAAAGTCAGTTAGCAGACACTTAGGTTGACAAACAAATAGCACACTTGGGCAAAGGAAAAGTACCTCTTTCTCCAGGCAAATGCAGCCATCTGTGAGCCTAGCACATAGTCCAGTATGGATAGGGGATGAGCAGATTTCAGCCCTGCTCACTTTCTTAGCTAGGACCTTTTGAGGAGTGTGCATCCATATAACTAAATGCAGTGGCTCAAATGCTATACAATGGCAAGGCTCTGTCACAACTTTCATGTCACCTCAGTGTATAGTATCCAAATATCTGAGGGTAATCTGCTCTTTGAGACACAGAGTAGAATAAGGAAGTTATATTCTAATAAGGGTTAAAATATATGTACCAAAATAACAAAGTGTGGGCAAAAAAAGCTAATAATGACAAAGAAAAGACCAATGAAATATTTTAAAAATCCAGAAGACCAAACAACAACAAACCCATTTCTATCTCGAGGAATTAGAGAATATTTCATACAGAAGGTGGCATCAAAACTCAGACTTGAATGATATTCATGATTTGCTCACATGGAGATAAGTACAAGAGGACTGGGAAGTACCAAATAACAAATAATTAGCTTGCCAGATGGAAATGCTATGTGAATGACAGAAGTTATCATATTTACTTTCTCATAGCTGTGACAAAATGCCCAAACTTAAAAGAGGAGAGGTTATTGTGGCCCATGGTTTTTAGAGATTCAGTCTATAGTCAGCTGGCTCCAAGGCAAGAAGAGCATGGTAAATGGGTCTAGTGAAGGAAAGCTGCTTACTTCATGATGACCAGGAAGCAGAGTGAAAAGGGATGTGCCAGGTAGAGAGAGATAGATACCCCTCCAGGTCATGCACCCCCGTAACCAACCTCTTCTGACCAGGCTCACCTCCTAATACTACATTTACCTATGAATTCGTCAGTGGATTAACCCCCATGATCCAATCACCTTGCAAGAGACCAACCTCTGAACACATAAGGCTTTAGGGGTCATTCTAGATCTAAATCATTTACAAAAGTAAAAAAAAAATTAGAAAAGCAGGTTAGGGTAAAATCATTAAGTCTTAACATGAGGCTAATAAGCTAACTAATTGTGAGTAAAGGAAGCCATGATGAGGTCATAACTTACTTTCATGAATATTACTTTGGCAATGTATTAAGAAGAATCAAAAAGGGTAGGGAGAAGGAGGGGATGGAATTAAAGGCATATGCAGTAGTTTAAGATAACAGTGACTATAATTGGGCAGTAGGAATCAGAGGACTACTTGAGTACCAGAGACAATAGGTTTGGCAACTGACAAATGTAAATGGTAATTGAGAGAAAAATAAAAATGATAATTTCTGTGCCTGTGTAAGAGAACAAATGGGTAATTCCTTCAAAATAAATAAGAACTACAGGAAGAAAATGAAATCTTACAAAATAATCAACTACCTGAAAAGTCCAAGATGCCAGTAAAATTTCTGGACATGGATACACAAGACAACTGAACATACAGAAATCAAACTTAGAAACCAGAGCTAGAACAATACTTCTGGGGTGTCTCTCACTCACCCAATGAGTATGAGACAGACAGGAAACAGGGTGCTGGTAGAAAAAATGATGATTGAAAAACAGTGGTTGGATAGGCATGATGGTGTAAGCCTGTAATCATAATCCCAGCACTGAGGGAGGCTGAGGCAAGATGATCATAATTTAAAGCTATGAGCAAGCAATTTAGCAACTTAGTGAGACTCTGTCTCAAAAAACAAAAAAATTAAATAGGTGTGTGCTGGGGATGTAGATCAGTATAAAGGCCCTGGGTTCAATTTCCAGTACTACCAGAGATGGGGTTAGTGGTTAGGGAGAGGAGAAACAAAAGCATACTATTATTATGACCAAAAATAGAGACTTTCAAGAAGTGTTCAACAGTCTCAAGTGGTGGTGAGCAGAAGAGTGTCCTATAATTTTTAAGGCCCACCTTCAATTCTTATAAAGCAAAGGTTATTAGGGAAAGAGGGCCTTCAGAGAACCACTTAGAACAATATAAGGTACCTTTCTTGGCCAGTCCTTCTGGGAACTGGGAATATTGCCTGTGTCCCAGGTAGTGTCGCTTAACTGCCAGGCCATGCTGAGAGCACAAGTGAAAAGGTGAATAGCATCTGATGCAACATATGGGTCAGGGCAAAATTAGGATTGTAGAACTTAAGGCTGAGGTAATGGAAGCACTGTTCCAGAAATCTCGGAAAGAAATACACGGAGACACAGAATTTGGGGAAAATAATAAAATTTCTTCTCGCAAGTGGGGGGGGAACACCAGAAACAGGTCTGGTTAGAATCCATGCCTCCTTTGTTCAGCATTTCCCTTTTTATATCCTTTTTAGCCATTATCTCATCCCTAGTGGTCTTTGATGTGTAAATACAATTCCAGTTCCTAATTACAAGTCACAGACACAAGATAGGCACATATACATTGTAAATTCACCCTGGCACTGCAACTCTGTTAGGTTAGTGAAGTTACTGGTTAAAGAGTCAGATAACTGTCACCTTAAACAAGGAGTTATAGGAAAAGCAAATCTTAAAAGAACACATTACTTATTTTGCTTCTACAACTACCTTAATATTCAATCTATTAAGTTATCTAAAACTTTTCCATATCATTCCTCCCTCTGTTTATTTTGGGATAATTCTTTTATCCATTATAAGTTCTATCCAGTTTATCTACATTTTTTAACACTAGCATTTGGTAGTCTTGAGCTGCAGCACTGTGCTACTGTATAAATTTTGAAGTCCACTGGATGACACAAGGACCAACATTAATATTAATATTATAACAAGAAGGGGACTCAGAAGAGGTCCTATCCAAGTTTTTGTCATCCTGCCCAAGTAAAACTAATCCCATAGGACAGCTCTCCTATACCAAATTTTTCATCAAGAGCCTTGATCTAGTGATTCTTGTACTACACTAGACTTATTAGCATATTAACAACTCTCTTTACCAAGAAATAAGCAAGTCCCTCCTTTCTGGGCTGTGAGCAAATTGAGAGCATGCTTATTCTGTAATGACACTGGCCTGTGAATCTAGTTGGGTTTTTAAAGCCTGAAGTGTGTCTCGAATTTCCTCAAGATCTTTTTAAATTTCTTGTCCTAATGAAATATATTACTCCTTGTAGCCAAATAAGATCCCATGGGGCTGGCATATACATAGATATAGGATTACATTGACCTTGTTTACAATTGTTACAATTACCAGTGGCTCATCCAACAAGGGAGCCACTGATCCAAACTTGTCTTTTTTCTTTGTAATATAATTTTTCATTAGAATAGCACCCCACAGTCAGAAGTTATCCCAGGTCCCCCATAATGTTTTTATCAAAGAATATTATAAAGGGATAGTCTTCCAGTTCCCATTTTACTGTTTCAAAAGTCACATATTGTTCATCAAACTTTTCATAACTAGGCCTAAACACCTGCAGTTCAAAAACAAAGAAACCTAAGGCAGTGGTGATCTGGCACAACACAATAATCCATGTCGTCCTTGTTGGTATTCTTCAGCTGTGCATTGACTCACCAGCCTGAGGAGTGGTGAGAGCAAGGCTTTGAGTGTGTTGTCTTTCTCAGCTTTCAGCATCAGCTTTATTGTTACCTTGTGCAATGAAGTCTTTGCCTTTCTGATGTCCTGAACAATGTATTACTGTGACTTTGCTAGGTTCCCACACTGCCTCTAGCAACTGTATAATTTGTTTATTTTTAATTAGCTT